GAACCTACGCATGGTTCGCCGACTTTTATCCAGCTGTATTACCTATGCGTTTATTTTGGAACGGATTGGAAAACATGTGATGGATGTTGCAATTTTTTTTTCCGTCGGGATATATAAAAAGGAGAACCTATTATTTTTTATATCTCAGCATACAAAAGAAAGATATTTTATATGAAGATGTAAAAGTTTGTTTTACTTCATTTTTTTCTTTTTAAGTTCTTCCTTAATTTTCTTTCATCTGTTCCTTCTCTTTCTCCTTAAGTCTGTCTTTCATTTTTATTTACTTGCTTTTTCTTTAATTCTTATCACAATTACAATATACCACTTCTTTTGTTAGGTTTATATTTATCTTAGCTTACTTCAATCTTCATCCGTCTTTTTATTGTACGTTTTGGCCCAACGAACTCTATCAGGCAATGTCTTCCTTTATACATTATACCTTACACCATCACTTGTGTTTGATGTCCTCTTGATCTTCTTCTTCTTCTTCTTCTTCTTCTTCTTCTTCTTCTTCTTCTACTACTACTACTACTACTACTACTACTACCACTGCTACGGAAGAGTATTGGATAAATAGATAAAGAGTATCAGAGAAAGAGTATTAGATAGATAGGTAGATACATGAAGAACATTAGATAGATAGATAGATAGATAGATAGATAGATAGATAGATAGATAGATAGATCGTATTGGATAAATAGATAAAAAGTATTATTTATTTATTTATTTGCCAAGCAAAAGGAGTGGGTATACAATCTTATGTTTCTCCTAACTCTCTCTTTCTCTCTCGAACTTATATCTGATTGTAACAATTTGCATTAACATGAGTTCCAACGCAAAAAATTTTAAATATACAATTCAGTACAAACCCTTCACGGACATTACAGGGGTAACTAAAAATCATGTGTATTTTTCTCAAAATAGTTTTGCTATCCCTTTTATATATATATATATATATATATATATATATATATATATATATATGTATGTAGATATATACACAGACAGATAGAAAGAACAAAATGGAATATAGAAAGAGAGAGAGAGAGAAAAGATGGAATAGATAGATAGATAGATAGATAGATAAAGCGTATTGGATAAATAGATAAAGAGTATTAGATAGATAGGTAGATACATGAAAAGTGATAGATAGATAGATAGATAGATAGATAGATAGATAGATAGATAGATAGATAGATAGATGAAAAGTATTAGATAGATAGATAGATAGATCTACTACTACTATTACTACTACCAATGATTTTATTCTCTTCTTTTATTTCCCTTCCTTTATTTATATTTTTCACCACTTCTCTTTCATTTCTTCTACATCCCTGTCTTTTCCTCTCATAGTCATCTATTTTCTCTCTGATTATCTGTTTTTAACGTCCACTTTTTCCCCCATTCTTTTCTTTCTTCTTCTCTTCTTGTCACAAAGGAATAATGAAGGACACTGGAGCCACATATTTTCAATTGTCTGCCAACTCTCTGATACATCAGACAAGCAGAATCACACAAAGACGTGATAATGTCCTGATGAAGACAGCAAAACTCAGCAGACGATATGCCACATATAAAATGAAGATACGAGCTTAAAAAAAACATTCAACCTATGATAACTCTTATATTTCCAAAGTTTAGAGAATTTTATATTTTCTTCGCTTTGTTATAGAACCAGTACTGAATTTAACAAATCCTTCGATTCTGAAATTTATGGCTTTCTCACAACCTTCCCAGCGCCTGCTTCTCAGCAATAAAATTTCCTGAAAAGAATTGTATTGTGCTACGATGAACATCGAAAGAAATCAAGGTGTCAGACACGTAGTTTTTGCATTCCTTAGAGATTGGTACTGAATGGATCTGAAAAGCATCATGTCTTTGTTTGGCCTTAAGCCAGACTTGAGTGCAACAGATAAACGCCTAAGTACGCGTGATTAAACAGAGGTGGATACGAATAAACACGCTTCATCATATGCAGCTGTATACTAATTAGCGCATAAATTCGAAAACAGATGAATGTTTGGGCCTCCAGCAATGCCATTCATTATATTCAACCATCATCTCTTACTTTCCTACCTCCGTTATATTCCTCCATCTTTTGCAGTCTCATATTCGTTATATTCTTCGATTATCACAGCATGTAAGGTTGGGTTTAATAAATAGAGGCTCGGAAAGGGGATTCGGAGAGCCGAGTTCCAATTCCAGTCGGGTTCGTTATACAGTGTAACCCGGATATAAGAGAAACCCGGATATAAGAGAGATTTTCTCTGGTGCCAAATTAGAGCCTGTGTTAATGTATATAAATTAGACCAAACCCGGATATAAGAGAAACCCGGATATAAGAGACTTCTTCTCCGGTCCCGACAACTCTCTTATATCCGGATTACCCTGTATTAACTTACGCATAAATACACATGAGAAATGTAGGAACCTATCTATTCTCTCCAGATAGGAATGAAACAGTAGGAGATCTATCTGGAAAAATTGTTATTCTACAAAGAATGTAATGTTAATGCGTAAAAAGTGAATTCTTCTTGCAATCCAAAATATGTTTTAACGTTAAATAACCCACAAAACCGTAAAAAAAAAAAAAAAAAAAACAAAAAAAAAAAAACAATTCATTTTTTCATGCCATAGCATGTTCGTAATATTCCTTCTTCTTCTGCCTACTCTATATTCACCATCTTTCCTGTATTCCTTATTGTTGTGAGGGAGAATATTTCCCTACAAGTTTGGACTCGGCCGTCGGACGAAAGACGTAAAATACACCTACATCAAGAGGAGTAGCACTAGGAGCAGTAGCCACTGTAGATTTTGCTGAAAACAGTCATTCAAAGCTAAAAATTCGCTTCCCCAGTTTCTATTCTACATTATGTTTCCCTGTATCAAAAAAGAAACTTGTTGTTAAACCAATTCCGGTTGTTTTTCGATAATTCAATTATAACACTTATATCACGCCATTTTCTTTTGCCTAATTTTATTCCTTATATTCCTCCATCTTCTGTTAGTTTTTTTTTAAGCTTTTCACCCCCAAGCAAGGCGAGAGTGACACTACTACGCAAGGCGTTACAGAGAGTGGGGACAGGAGTAAAGAGACGTGATTGAGGAAAGGATAAAGAGAAGGACGGGGAATTAGATCAAGACATCAGAAGATGTCGATTGACATTATACTTGAATATTTGAATATTATAACTATCGGGAAAGAAAGTAAGAGGAAGGGAGTTCCACAGATGGGAAGTGCGAGACATGAAGCAATTGGAATAAAAAACACAGCTAAATTCAACCTTTTCGACACATAAAGGGTGGGACTGAGATGCCAAACAAGTAACAAGCTTAAACCATACAGTTTGGGACCGAGCGAAAATAGCTCGTCGGAGCAGTTACCTATCATCAGTTCAGTTATGTGTCATACGTGATACACGCTTAGGCGATCATGTATCTTTCGATACATGACTGACGAGGCAGATTTTTTTCCTGCAGTAGGTTGTCATTTTTTTCTGCGGTAGACCAGTTGCCATCAAATGCTATAGAACCCGGTCTGTCCTGCTATTTACCTATAGCTGGAGGGGAGAAGAATAGGATTCATAACTTTCTCAATGGATTTGACTAGAATTCGAACTCGGCTCTCCGATTTCTCAATTCGACACATTATCCCTTACTCCCTGTTATCTACCATATATTCCTTATATTCCTCCATCTTCTGCTACCTACCATATATTCCTTATATGCCTCCATCTTCTGTTGCCTATCATTTATTCCCTATATTCCTCCATCTTCTGTTACCTATTATATATTTATATATTCCTTCATCTTCTGTTACTTACCATATATTCTTCAATATGTTGCCTAAACTAAATTGTTTAAATTCCCCCATCTTCTCTTTCCTGTTCTACGTTTATCTGCATTTATATTCCTCCATTTTCTGTTGTCTATCCCGTAATCCGTATGTTCCTCGATCTTCTGCTGTCTATCCTTCAACCCTTATATTCTCCATCAATTATTACCTACCCCATATTTCTTATATTCCTCCATTTTCTGTTGTCTATCCCGTAATCCGTATGTTCCTCAATCTTCTGCTGTCTATCCTGCAACCCTTATGTTCTCCATCAATTATTACCTACCCTATATTTCTTATATTCCTCCATTTTCTGTTGTCTATCCTGTAATCCGTATGTTCCTCGATCTTCTGCTGTCTATCCTTCAACCCTTATATTCTCCATCAATTATTACCTACCCCATATTTCTTATATTCCTCCATTTTCTGTTGTCTATCCCGTAATCCGTATGTTCCTCGATCTTCTGCTGTCTATCCTTCAACCCTTATATTCTCCATCAATTATTACCTACCCCATATTTCTTATATTCCTCCATTTTCTGTTGTCTATCCCGTAATCCGTATGTTCCTCAATCTTCTGCTGTCTATCCTGCAACCCTTATGTTCTCCATCAATTATTACCTACCCTATATTTCTTATATTCCTTCATTTTCTGTTGTCTATCCTGTAATCCGTATGTTCCTCGATCTTCTGCTGTCTATCCTTCAACCCTTATATTCTCCATCAATTATTACCTACCCCATATTTCTTATATTCCTCCATTTTCTGTTGTCTATCCTGTAATCCGTATGTTCCTCAATCTTCTGCTGTCTATCCTGCAACCCTTATGTTCTCCATCAATTATTACCTACCCTATATTTCTTATATTCCTCCATTTTCTGTTGTCTATCCCGTAATCCGTATGTTCCTCGATCTTCTGCTGTCTATCCTTCAACCCTTATATTCTCCATCAATTATTACCTATCCCATATTTCTTATATTCCTCCATTTTCTGTTGTCTATCCCGTAATCCGTATGTTCCTCGATCTTCTGCTGTCTATCCTTCAACCCTTATATTCTCCATCAATTATTACCTACCCCATATTTCTTATATTCCTCCATTATCTGTTGTCTATCCCGTAATCCGTATGTTCCTCAATCTTCTACTGTCTATCCTTCAACCCTTATGTTCTCCATCAATTATTACCTACCCTATATTTCTTATATTCCTTCATTTTCTGTTGTCTATCCCGTAATCCGTATGTTCCTCGATCTTCTTCTGTCTATCCTTCAACCCTTATATTCTCCATCAATTATTACCTACCCCATATTTCTTATATTCCTCCATTTTCTGTTGTCTATCCCGTAATCCGTATGTTCCTCAATCTTCTGCTGTCTATCCTGCAACCCTTATGTTCTCCATCAATTATTACCTACCCTATATTTCTTATATTCCTTCATTTTCTGTTGTCTATCCCGTAATCCGTATGTTCCTCAATCTTCTGCTGTCTATCCTGCAACCCTTATGTTCTCCATCAATTATTACCTACCCTATATTTCTTATATTCCTTCATTTTCTGTTGTCTATCCCGTAATCCGTATGTTCCTCGATCTTCTGCTGTCTATCCTTCAACCCTTATATTCTCCATCAATTATTACCTACCCCATATTTCTTATATTCCTCCATTTTCTGTTGTCTATCCCGTAATCCGTATGTTCCTCAATCTTCTGCTGTCTATCCTTTAACCCTTATATTCTCCATCAATTATTACCTACCCTATATTTTTATATTACTCCATCTTCTTTTGCCTAATTTATATTCCTTATATTCCGCCATCTTCTATTACCTACCCTAGATTTCTTCTTGTCATTCTGAAAGTTTTGTATTTGCCGTTTTCCTATTAGTTATATTTACTATCTACTTTTGTCTACTTGTCTTACTCTCCAAATCTTCTTACCATTTTACCCTCTTTGCCTTTCTTTCTCTCCTTTCTCTCCATTCATATTTTCTCGGCACTTCTCTCTTATTTTTCTCATTTCATTCTTCTACTCTGCCTGTATGCCCATTTCGTTTTTTTGTTTGTTTTTTATTCCTCTATATATATTTTTCTTTTATCAACCTCTTCCTTTCCTACCTTCTCCTCTACCCGTCCCAACGGAATAATGAAGGACGCTGGAGCCACATATTTGCAATTGTCTACAAACTGACTGATACATTTGATTGGGATCAGACAAGCAGAATCGACGTGAAGCACTCGTCGCTTGATGGCTGTCATGAAGACTCATTAGCCGACGCAATCTATACGTCTGCTGGTCCATCCACTCGCCTGCCTGTCTATCTGGGCCTTTCTTGTGTACGTCGTATTACCTTGTTTTGCTTGTTGGGCGACAATCACAACATCGGTGATAATGATGTCGATGTCGAAACAGCACCTGATATTGATATAAAAAAAAGCGAAAAAAAATAACGCTTTACCATAAACGAAGAAAAAGATAGATAGAAGAAAAAGGGGTATCATTCCAACTGCAGGTGAGAAATGTAACAGTTGACGATGTGACGTTTAAAAGTGTGGAACTCTAAATGTCATTGTCGTAAGAAACAAGGTCAGAGAATTAGAATTGTCATGAAAATAGCAACATATTAGTAGAAAAAATAATATTCGATTTTAAAAAAATCACATTTTATCATGCTACAATATACATCGATATCTTCTGGGGACGTATAGTAAACTTGTATATTAACTGCACGGATCAACCTACTAGTTAATTTTTACACTATATTAGATTTTATTAAGCAAGTCATCGTTGATCCTAACCACCAGATCTCCTCGGGCTAAAGTTTTCTTTTGACATGAAGTGGAAAGATTATATTGAGTAAATTGCTAGGTTTGTTTCTTGGAGAGCTGGTTTAATGTGTCATGTTGGACAATTTTCTCTCCAGAATCTATCTTAGAGATTCATAAGTCTACCATTCGCCCATGCTTTGAATATTACTGCAACATCTTGTTTTCCTGCTATATATTTACCATTCTACCGTCTGCTATGTAATTATAGATTCATGATAAAATTCAAAGAAGTATCTGAAATGGTACCTGGCATCTCGACTTCAATCACTTTTTCTCCACCTTAACATAGATGCCGTATTCATTTTTTATGATGTCAACCGTCACTCGTTGACACATGACAAATGTTGACACGTTTGTCATGTCAACGAATACTCGCTGTTACTTCCGTAATGCTCGTTTTAGTAGAGACTTTCTAATCACAGATACAACTACGGTAACGCCGTTGAACAATACTGGTGTCAGATGCCTTCGAATAAAACTCGCACTAATAGTACTTGCTCGATAATACTCGCTCGAATAATAACCACCGAATGGTTATCCGTGTTGTGATCAGTATAGAGAATAGCATCAAAAAGAGAATCGCAAAATTATAGTATAAGAGGATAGAGTAGAAATAGTGATCCAAATAATAATTGAAGACAAAATAGAAATAACGATCAATTAAACGCCATGCGACATCCTATTATGTGTTTTCTATGGTCACGCAGTCTACTTAATTCAATAATGGGATCGCCTGTGTTTGCTCACTGGCGATCTATGTTCAAACTCAACTTTCGGCTGCGACACTTTATTCCTATAAAAGAAAAATGCATATCTTATTTTTGCTTATATTTTCTCTAAAACTTCGTCGTTGCTCAGATGTTCTGACCATGGTATCCTCGGCATCCTTCTGTTGTAAAACAATTCTGTTGCCTCCAGCCTCTCGTTTGCCACATTTGTAATGTCAACGAATACTCGTTGACACGTTTGACATGTCAACGAATACTCGCTGTTACTTTCGTAATGCTCGTTTTAGTAGAGACTTTCTAATCACAGATAAAACTACGGTAACGCCGTTGAACAATACTGGTGTCAGACGCCTTCGAATAACACTCGCACTAATAGTACTTGATCGATAATACTCGCTCGAAAAGTAACCACCGAATAGTGATCCGAATAGCAATCCGTATAGTGATCACTTATACACCACGCTAATTCCGAGATATACATGTATTTTTACCATCACGTGATCTACTTATTCAAAATGGGATCGCCTGTGTTTGTTCTCTGGTGATCTGCGTTCAAACTACAGTGTCCGCAGCGACACTTTATTCCTATATAATAACTTTTTATAAATATTTTCATGTTAATTGTTCTGATGAACTTTCCCCCTGTGGTGTCTAGAGTTTATGAATTTAAGCGCAGTACTAGAATCGGCAGCAATGTCTCATCACTTTACAGTTGAAACGGCTAGATGTAAGCGTAAGTTCTATACTAATAGTTTCTTTTCTCGTACTTCCCGCTTGTGGAACTCGCTTCCGTCTTTTTTCTTCCTTGTCAACTTTGACCTTCAAAAATATAAATGCAATCTCAATCATTATTTTATATGTTCTTAATTCTTGTTCTTTTATAGTTCTCTCTCCTTGATGATGTTTTTTACTCATATTCTTTCACACTCAGTAACTCCTTGGGTCTTAGTGGTTTTATTGGCTTGCTTGGGGTGAAATTACTAAAACCCATAAAATTTGTTTTAACAAAACTTCTTTGTGTTTATGTTAAAACTGCATAAAATTTGAAAAAAAAAACAACTATAATTTAAGTACTTAAAATACTGGCCACAAAACATTACTTCACCACTGTTGTGTTCCCTGACTGTGTTCCATGAAAGGAACAACGTCTAGTCTAGCCATCAGGTCGGTTCAATGTATCTCTACAGAAAATATTACTTCCTCTTTGTTGTGTTCTCTCCAATGTATCTCTACATTCAACGATTACCCAATGTAGCTCTACCCTCATCGCCAACAGTTATTGTTAACAAACAAATTTTCATGTACTTCGTCGTCTAATTTATACGTTTCTCTTCGTGATATTTACCCAATAGTGGATATTTGGTTGCTTTCATGTCTGTAGGAAAGGTTTCGATCACCAAAGTTAAAAAACGTCGAGCCTGATCAGTACCTTATTTGTAACCTGTCAGGAATATAAAGTGCTAAATGTGCGGTGGTGTAATGGGTAAAGGATCTCAATTGAAATCCGGAGAGCTGCGTTCCAATTCTAGTTAGGATCGTTATATTCGCTTACACGCAAATACCCTTGGGAAAGTCATAAATTCACCTCTTCTCAAACCCTTACCTATAGGTTAATTAGTAGGAATTGCATCAGTAAATCGTTATTACCTCCAAAAAATTATTATAATCTAAAATATTATCTGGCTTTAAATAACCTGCAAAAGGTTGATAAGCCGTAAAGAAAACAACTCGATGGTAATTTACAGTTCAAGCCCCACACTCAGTTTCTAATAAAAATTTTCCGAATAGTTCCATTTAGGTGTAAATGTACATGCTTAATTCGAAAATCTAAAAGAAATTTTGATAAAATCTATCGTTTTGGAGTTATCGACAATAAAATTTCGGACTTATTCGTGTCGCGTTGAGTGAATTTGAAATTAAGTCTGCATCCCACAGGTCAAGCAATATATGAAATGTTCTTAATATTCCACTTCTTTTTTTCTCTGTTTACATTCACAATACCAACTTCTTCCAAAATGTTCTGGTCAATAATTTTTCTCTTCTATTTTAATTCTTCTCATTCGTAAAGTCACTTGTTTTCTGGGGTTTTTTATCGTTCTTTGATACATTTCCAACATCTTCCCAAAAGCTTCAGCCCGTTGCTCAATTACATCAGAGTTTGTTGTTTCTCTTTGAGGAAATCAATTTGGAAATATCAAAAGTTAAAGTAAGAGGTTTCGCGAAGTGAGGTTTTAAATTTCCTCAGAATTTGTGATTTGGAGAATTTCGACCCAAATAAGAGTTTCAGCCCAAATAAGAGTTTCAGTCCAAATAAGAGTTTTAGCCCAAATAAGAGTTTCAGCCCAAATAAGAGTTTCGGCCCAAATAAGAGTTTTAGCCCAAATAAGAGTTTTAGCCCAAATAAGAGTTTCGGCCCAAATAACCCCAAATAAGAGTTTCGGCCCAAATAAGAGTTTTAGCCCAAATAAGAGTTTTAGCCCAAATAAGAGTTTCGGCCCAAATAACCCCAAATAAGAGTTTCGGCCCAAATAAGAGTTTCGGCTTTTACCGAAAATGTACTTATTGCCCGAATCAGACTTAAGCGAGTTTCAGAAATAAGATGGAGTGAATTCAGAAATTCAAAGTTATTTCTTCAAAACTATCATTGGTGTTTTCTAAACTGGACCCGAGTTCCGTTTACTTTTGGTCCGGAGACCCAAATAGCCCTCCGCAGTAGCTCGCTTAAAATTCGGCACGGGGTGCGGCTTTTAACCTAGTTTCTAACACATAGCAATATAAAACAAATCATATTCTTATGCAACATTTTAGTCTTCTTCCAGTATATTATATCCTCCTTCTGTAGATTACTTACATACATAGAGTTCTGCGTAAAAGTAAGGGAAACCCGAAGATAATATTTTTAAAAATTGTCACTTCCTTTTCCAGACTATCAACAAATCTTAATTCAACTATATATTTATCAATAAAAAAACTTTATTAAAGGAATTACAATCACGTTTAAAAGTTTATATTAATCTGCGATAAAGTTATTAATTAATCATTAAAAATAAAATGTGCAAAAGTAAGTGAACCGTTATACATATATATATATATATTTAATTATCATTTTAAACGTTAGTTTTAGCGGTTACTCATATTTGAGTAGACGCTCAATTTATATTTATACTGTATATTTATTCATTTTCGTCTACCGGCCTGAATATTCGAAAAATCTTATTAAAGAAAAAGCATGTTGCAAAATTTGCTTGGTTGCAGAGACGGCTAAGGCACAACGAAACTAACGACGGTTTCCCTCTGCCCCGATAAGGGTGGAGGTTCGAATCTTGCCGGAGGTTGCATATTTTTCTTTAAGTTTTCATATCGATACATCTCCCCAGTTTCGTAACCTAATGTAAACAAAGCAATTTCTAAATAAAGGTATGAATTTTTTTAATTATCAATCCGAAATATTTTATTACTTAAACGTTATTTTTAGTGGATACTCGTATTTGAGTAGACGCGCAGGTTATTTATTAAACTATATATTTATTTTCACTTACCGGCCTGAATGTTCGAGAAATCTCATTAAAGAAAAAACATGCGCTCTCCGATCGGATTCGAACCTGCGTTCCCCTAGGAAACCGTCTTTAGATCCGACGGGATTTAGATATCTCCTCCACAGAGTGAAACCGACGATCAAGCAAAGTTGAATAGTGACATTAAATTAGAAAAATAGCTTTGTTTACGTTAGGAGACGAAACTGAACAGATATGCCTATTTCGAGAGTCCGGGAATTATCTATGTTTAAAGGTACTATTCAATTTCTGCTGATTATCGACGTGATCTGTGGTCGTGAGGTTTAAGACACGTTAGATCTAACGATGGCTTACCCTGAGATACGCTGGTTCGAATCCT